TTCCAGAAGACGTATAAAATGCTGTAGCTAGTGTGGAAAAATATGTTTAGTTGTTTAATATGTTAAAATGGGGTTACTTTGTAATGCAGGAATGATTATTCTGAATATATCCCAAAACATAAAAACAATTATTCAAACATAACCTTGTATAAAAATGCTCATAGCAGCAAAATTAATGCAAATATATAAAACTAACTTCAATGTCTATAAACTAATACAGAACATTACTCATTCATGACATAGGAGACAGTTACAGTAGTGTCACTTAATAGTGTTCTAAATGAGACAGACCCGTCACAGAGATGACATAGTCTATCATCCCATTGAAGTAAAACACCCAGAATATGTAAATATAGAAAAATTGAATTGGAGGTTGCTTGGGTCAAGGCTGCTTGAAGGAAGATGGTGCAAATGTGCAGCATGACTAGAACAGAGTTCTCTGCAGTTGACATTGGTATCAGGCCAGGTAGATCATCAGTCAGTGCAGACCCCTGAGTGATCAGAGAGCTGAGAATAAGTGACTGTTGAGTGCTGAGTCCTACATGGAGCATCTGTATCAACACCCCCATCACTCCAGGCTCAAGGAACATCATGAAAGCAAATGTCGGGGTAAAGTAAGGGCCAGGACAGGTGGTGTGATGAAGTGGAATTCCACTTTGTGCTCTCTGAGTGCCAAGAATGTTTTATTACCATTGGTTAATAAAGAAGCTTCTTTGGGCCTATGGCAGGGCAGAATATAGGCAGACAAGAGATCTGAATATATATCATATAGCATATAAAAAGATGGTATAATTAATATGGCTTCTGTATCATTACTTGGATCTGTGCAGCCAGGAAACCAATAAGCAGTCTCCATTTACAGTGTGAAATACCATATCCTGGACATGGCATGGCCCACTCTTGAACTTATCACCTGCATGAGATCAGACCAATAATATTGGTCAGCATCTTAGCAGGCAGAATTTGCTGGACTTTCTATTTGGCCAAAAAAGGGGTGGGATATTAAATTGAGAGAAAGATGTGTTGGGTATTTGAGGTAAGTGGGGGTGAGAATTCAGGGAGGGTATAATCAAGATAAATTGTATACCTTTATGATATTATCAAAGGATAAATAAAAGAATTCTAAAACAAAGAGAGGTGCAGTGGCTTAAACCTTTAATCCCAGCACTTAGGAGGCAGAGGTAGTGGGATCAGTGTGAGTTCAAGGCCAGCCTGGTCTACATGGCAACTTCCAGGCCAGTTGAGCTACACAGTGACACCCTCTCTAAAAGAAAATTAAGTTAAAAAACAAAAGTAAGGGAGTACATGTATTTGATTGCACTAAAAATATTGGATTGTGCCTTTATGTACAACACCATAAGCTTGTGAATTACATGTCAGGTGAATTATATACCAATAGAGCTGTTAGTTTTGCTAAGTGTGGACAGGTGAATTATATACCAATATAGTTTTGCTAAGTGTGGAAGAGAAAGGCTGAACTTCAAACATGGCTACAGACAAGTGTACTGGGTCAAAAGGCAGAAGAACCATCATACATACCTACTGACATTAACAATGGATCAAAAACATCAAATTTTATGAAGTTCTTGATCTTTTCGACAAAAGGATCATTTGGGGTGTTGAGGGAATCGACGCTCACACCAAATGCTGTGCTCGTGATCACATCCATGCTGTAGGCCCCTAACACTCTGAGGAGAGAGAGATGTGGGAATTTACCACATTCAGCAAGAAGCCTGAAATTATTTATATTCTTGTCAAGACTTGTAAAACCACCTCAGTTGACCAAGCACCTTCCCCTCCTACCCACCCTTAATTCTTGTGACTTTGATACTGTTACATTTCTTTCTCAATTGTAAATTTGTCAAGTAGTGTCTTAAAGGGAAGAAGGAGCAGCTGGACATGTGAGACACACAGAAGGGTGACCCTTCTGCCCCTGCTGCCCTTCCTCTCCCACAACCACAGTGGATGTACCACACTACTCATTCTTTCAAGGTAAGAGGCTTGCCTTTCTCTGCCTCTCTTCTCAAATATTTTACCAAAATATCTCCATACTGTTCAGTAATGGGGAACATCTAAGCACAAAACACAAATGTATCCATGGTTGTTACATGTGGAGACTCAAGTTATACAAACATTTCAACTAACAGTCCTTTTAGTCACCTCTTTGAGTTTTCCACTGGTGAAGGTGGGAGACAGCAAGGCTCGAATTCTCTTCCACTCCTCATCCTTAGATATGGTCAGGGCTTTACTCATTATCCCCACTGGGCCAATAATCTGGAGTCAAAAAATATAAATATTGTTCTCTGTAAGTCCAGACCTTACTATAGTTGCAAAGCGCTAGGGCAATATTGGTGTATAACAATTAGTTTTTGACAAAAAGTAAATGTTTGTTTACTATGGATCAAACCTCATCTTAGATGCAAAAAGGGTCAGTATTTCCTCACAACCTTGAAGACATTAGGTGCTCACTGGGATGCCTGTTGAACTTTTAAACATTTTTATTCCAGGATCCTTGTAAATTTAAATCTCACTGTGGTTTGCAAATTTGTTCCAGGGTTGGGAGAGGGCAGAGAAGAGGGGAACAAGACATAGTAGATTCTCCAGAGTTAAGTAGATGGCAAATGGCTTGGGGATAAATAGAAAGTGAACTTTGCATCAGACAAATTCTCCAGCTCCAAATTTACAACATAAGCAATGTGAAAATTGATGTCTTGATATGGTATGTGCACATGCGTGCATATGAATGTTCGTGTATGTGTGTGTGTGTAGAGTAGAACACTGGTGTGCATTCTCATTTGGAGAACAGAGGTCTGACATCTTCCTCTATACCTCTACTGTATTTTTTAGGCAGTGTGTCTCAATGAATATGGAAGGGTCTGGTTTGGCTAGAGTAGCCATTCAGCAAGCCCCTAGGACCCACCTATTTCCAAATACAGCTCAGAAATAACACATACATGCTGCTCTGCCCAGCTTTTATGTGGATGCTGGGGATCTACACTCAGGTACTTTACTGATAGAGCCATTTCCCTAGCCTGAGACACTTAAAGGATTTGATATTTGAGTTTTGTCAAGACTTACTTTAGTATTGTATGTATGTATATGTGTTTATATATGTATGTGTGTGTATGAATGTATGATGTGTGCAGTGTGATCAAAGGACAAAGGAGTGAGTTGGATCTCCTAAAGCAGGAGTTACAGGTAATTTGAGCTGCTGGATATGGATGTAGACAACTAATCCCCATTCTCTTGTAGATAGACACTAAGTCTTTTCTCTAGACCATGTTTTTTTTTGTTGTTGTTGTTTAGGAATAGTTTTTTCTTAATTTTTTTAGCGATAAAAGGGAAAATATAATTATTCTCTTAGTCTTCAAGTTAGATAGGTATTGAGAATTATATGTTTGTCATATTTATATTTAAGATAATCAGGTTTTTTGGATACATAGAGATTATATTTAGTATAGATAGTATAATCTTCAACCTCTTCGAAGAGCTGTAGAAAATGGCCTGTAATCTAACCTAGAATTCTGTGCCAATGAGACACAATCACTACTGGCAACACCACTCTACTCCCGAGAGAACATTGAGCACCAAAGACACTCCACTGGGAGCTTGTCTTCTTCTTGGCACAACTGGCCTTCAGGCAAAAGAAAAGCCCATACCTTGACTACTGACAAAGATACAAAATATCCATAAGTGGATAAAACAGGATTGTCTTATCTTGCCAAGACAGGTTAGGATAGTTCTAAAAATGTTTCTTGCCTTTGATAATAGTATGTCAGTTATGTTAGGCCTTAGCCAAAGTTGGTTGACTCAACATTGCTAACGAGACTTTGGGTGATTGCCCAGGTAGTCAGTTGTCTCTGTCATTTGTTGCACATTTTGGAAATGTCTCATTTTTTCTTCCTGGTTGCTTAAGTAATATTACTTCCCTTCTCAGATATTTGACGGAGTTGAAGATTAGATAATTGCAGTTACTCTCTACATTATTTAGACTCCTTGAAATAAAATATTTAGTAAAACTTTTGTTACATGTTTCTTGCTCAATATTGTTTATTATTTGTAATTTTATATTTATTATTTGTTCCTATTGTATATAATTGTATTTGGTTTGGTTCTGTCTTATTTAGGCAAAAGGGGGAGATGTAGGGGAAGCCCAGCCAATCACCTTGCTTGAAGGGCGGGATCCCCTTATGCTAATATTTACTTGTAAATCTTGCGGGTGTGCTCCCCACCTTCCCTTCTGTTACCTGCTCTTCGGTGGAATCTTGGTTTTGTGAGTTATCCCCTTCTTCCCCTTAATAAAGCTGATATTAAAGCTAGCCTGATTAATCCTATTTGCTGGTTGTTTACACCCTATCAGTCTCTAAAAACCAAAGCAAGCAAACAAAATAAATTCAATAGGCAAAAGTAAAGGTTTGTATTCTTAAAAGGTGGAATCTTGGGTGGTGGTTCAACAGTTAAGGGTGCTTGCTGATCTTGTGGAGGAGCCAGGTCCCAACACCCATGCCAGGCCCCTCCAACTGCTTGGAACACTAGCTTTAGTGGATCTCCACCTTTTTTGCCTCCACGGGAACCTACACATGTATGGTATTTACTTTTATAGAAACATGCAGTGGGACAATGGTCTTGTACTCTTTAAAGGTTGTCAGTTGTACTGGTTTAATAAAATGCTGATTGGTCAGTAGTCAGGCAGAAAGTATAGTTGAAGCAACCAGCCAGTAAATAGAGGCAGGGTGATGAGAAGAGGAGAATTCTGGGAAGAGGAAAGACTCAGTCTGCATTCCTCACCCAGACACAGAGGAATCAGGATGAGACAGCCTTACTAATAGAAGGTACCAAGCCATGTGACTAGCACAGATAAGAATTATGGATTACTGTAAGGTGTAAGAATTAGTTAACAATGAAGCCTGAGATAATATGTCAACCAGTTTATAATTAATGTAAGCCTCTGTGTGTTTCTTTGGGACTGTGCGGCTGCAGGACTGGGCAGGATAGAACCTCTGTCAACAGACATACATATAAATAAAAATAGCAAAAACAAGTCTTTAAATTTTTTAAATTAAAAAAGTTACCTACCCGTCGGTTTGTGAACACAGAATAGAAGTCCTTCACTAGTACATTCTTGATCATCTCTGTGTCCGTGATAGCTAACACAGGTGTTTGACCATCATGCAACCTGGGCGAGGAAAACAGCTCATTAACCCAAGCCAGGTTATAAAGTGGGAGCCCAAATCCTCACTTTGATTCCAATGTTATATGACCCCACTCTGGCTATACAACATGGAGTCACACTAATTTCAAGTCCAACTTAGGGAGTCTGACCACAGATCCATGGAGTCTTTGTAAAGTGACAGGTGATATCATTGAAGACACAACGAGTCACTTAAAGACAAAACAATTTGTAGTGAAAATCTCGTAGAGTCATTGTATCTTGGGTAAACATTAGGATGAAAAAGTTGTTTCTCACTGTATGTATGATAATGGCAGAATATATTACTTTCTTGTTCAAGGCTCCAAGACCTTGAGGAAATCATAGTCTGGAACAGTGATTGTTTTCTATGACTTATCATTGTTTTCTCTATGGGATTTCCATCCATTGCATGTCTTTTGTCACAGTACTATCCAGGCATGTTTAGAGGGCTTGAATTATTGGCTACTGAAACAATGCACAATAGGGACTGGAATTGCAGGGGTGTGATTATTTCTTTCAGAGAACA